TGAAAGTCCTTCAAGACTCTAGATCTAAAATGCTTTTCCATTTGGGACGTCCAACTCCCAAGGGCGATATCATTGGGACCAAAAACAAGCAAAAGGTGGTAAGAAGGAGATCTAATCAACTATGAGGCAAGTTTGAGACTTGATTACCAGAAAGTGAAGAAAATGGAGTGAGGTTTCTGAATCTAGCAACTCTTCCTTGTTCCTTCAAACTTTCCTTGCTTCCAAGAGCTTCAATCACCCACAAGAACACTCAAAATGGCCAAATCACTCACAATAGCATTAGGGTTTCGAGATCTAGGGTTAGGACAGTGGAGGCTGCAAATGAGGTCAAACCCTAAAGCATAAGGTGTTTAAATAGGATGCAAAATCCCGGATCTAGGGTTTCTCAAACCCGTCCAACTCGTCGAGTTGGTCCTCCCCAACTTGTCGAGTTGGTCTTTAAACTCCACGTGCCCAATTATTCCTACACATCGAGTTCTCACCCCTGAACTCGACGAGTTGACCTCTTGATTGAAGATTTTTCTTTCCTTAATTAGCCTTCTGAATTATGGGTGTTACAACTGCACTAGTATTCCTTTAGACAGCCAGAAATGGTGGGTATGTATCAGATAACCGATGGGTATGTCTGGTCATCTAACCGGGTAAGATGAAAAAACTAGTTCTTTCTATACTATCTTGTAGAACATTGTAGGTTTTTCATTCCTGTATGTGTTTAGTACTCTATCCCCCTCATGGTTGATTTTACTGATTTTCACTTGCCAAGGGATCCCCATAACAATATAGTCTACTCGTTGCTTATAGTGATCCATCAAGTTAGATGTAACATCCATAAAAATCATGCCAAATTTGAACTTTTTAAAACATTTAAAATCATTAAGTTATTACAATTCGTTTTCAAAAGAGTTTAAACATCAGAGTATCCCCATAATAAAATCATGAAAATATAACGAGGTGTACGATCACGCCTTCACCTTCCCGCGATCATCATAAGTACCTGAAACATAATCAACAAATGTAAGCCCGAAGCTTAGTGAGTTTCCCCCAAAATACCAATGACATACACATAAAACCATATCATGTAAAGAAACAACATGCATAATGACCCATCAGCCTGACTGGACCGCCTCGCAGGACCATCCGTCTATCTGGACCGCTCTCCGAGCCATCGGCACGTCTGGACCGCCTCTCAGGGCCTTCAGCCTATCCAGACCGCTCGGCGGGCCTTCGACCTGACTAGTATGCCCTAGCCAGGTCTGCAGTCTATCCGGTCCGCCCTAGGTATCTTGGCCTATAGCACAAAGCAGGACCTGCCTCAACCAAATCCCTCAAACCAATAATCATGTGCACATAAATATAATACGCTAGCTAGCATGTACAGATAGTCACACAGATCTAACAGATCACTAACATGACAATCATCCTATAACCAGGATACCGATCTAACTGATCACTAACATAGCAACCATCCTATAACTAGGATACAGATCTAAAAGATCATTAATATGGCAACCATCCTATAACTAGTATACCGATCTAACCGATCACTAACATAGCAACCATCCTATAACCAGGATACTAATCTAACAGATCACTAACATAGCAACCATTCTATAACCCGGATACAAATCATAAAGGGCCGGCCTTGGTGCCGTAGACCCTGTTGATATAGTGAGAAGAACTCACCTCACAAGTAGCTCGAAGATAAAGTCAAACTCCACCAAATACAGCTCCAAGTCCAACACCTACATCCACCAATGATCCACTTCCATAAAATCCAAATTACCAAAATACCCCTAGAAGTCAAACTGGTCAACCCTTGGTCAAAGTCAACGGTCAAAGTGAACAGCCCATGTTGACCCGACTCATCGAGTGCAGCTAGCAACTTGTCGATTTTCTTAAGAACTCAGAAATCACCAAAACCCTAATTGACTCGCCGACTTTCCAACCAACTCGTCGAGTCTATGCGTGTCTATATGTCGGGGAAAACCCTAACTGACTCGTCGAGTCCACTTACTGACTCGCCGAGTTCATGCAGAACCAAATACGGGCAATCTTCATCCGACTCGCCGAGTCGGATATGCAACTTGTTGAGTTCATGTAGTCCATTTCCTATCCAAACGTTTTTAAGCTACTCCAAAGCTCCAACTTGTAGATAGCTTCCTAAGGCACATATTCCACGTAAAGTTGCAAACTTTACGTGCATGCAAGGTCTTAAAGGCTTAGAATACCAAAACCAAGTCTAGAATGAGGTTTAGGGAATGGTGAGGGGTTAATACTAGATAAAGCTTATAGCTTTCTGAATTTGGGACCTAGAGGAGTCCAAATCTGAGACCATATCTTCTGGGCAAGTTCAAATCCGAGAATGACCCCATTTTGCCCCAAAAATGACCATATTCATGCATGAGAGAAGATCTAAGAAATGGAAAGCCAAGGTAAAGACTTTTTACCTTCAAATGAATGCGAAAATGAAGTGGGTGCTAGATCTACAGGCTCCTTCTCGTTCCAAGCTTCTAAGTCTTCAAATCTCTTCAAGAAATGCACCAAAACACACTCTTTTAGCCTCACACACTAAAAAATGGAGAGTTAGCTTGCTAGGTTTTGTTTCTGGACGGTAGGCTAGTAAGGGAGGATGGGGATAGGAGTTAAGGTTCTTTAAATAGGTTGCAAACCCTACGGTTCTATATCCACCAGAAGGAACTGCTAAAGGTGATCAAATTAAAAACAATGAGTAGTTAGAAAATATGAGAAAGATGAAGATTGATCTAAGACAGAACGAAGTTGAGGAAAGAGATAGGGAGGCTATAAGACTCACAAGGGAAGAACTATGCCCAAGGTGGACGATAGAAATAATGATGGATTCATCGATTAAGGATGTTAAAAAATATTGGCTTAATTTGTTGTCATCTTTTGATATTGGAAACAATAATGATTGTCAACTTGACTTCACTATTACTTCGAGGTCATTCTAATGGAGGAGCTTTCCAAACACTCAAGGTGTTTCGTTGTCTGATGGAAATATGAATAAGCAACTATTTAAGTTTTACGCATCACAATCAAGACCACAATATGAAGTCTGTTGCTTAAAGAAAATCTCAGTTGTGATTGATTGTCAAACCGAAAGCTATTTGAATGATACTTTTGTGAATTACAAGTTTAAGGCTCTAAGGGGAAGTGATAATGATGAATTCCAATTCTCCTTTTGTTGATCTTCCAATTATGAATCCTCATGATTGGTTTTAATTATCTTCTATACTTTCCAAAGAGAAAGCAAAGTACTTGAATCAAATCATCTATCTTAAGAAAATGATCATATTTATTTTGTTGAGATCAGTAAGATAGATATAGAGTTGGTAGAATTTTTATAGAAGAACCCACTCTCGGACCTTGTGATCAACCTGATGACATTCAAAGTATGAAGGATGGGAAGATTTAGAAGGAGCCTTGGCGAGTAGTATATAAAACGATGGTGAACAAGAATTTAAAGAATCAGATGTTTTATATGCAGGACAAGCATAGTTACAAGACTGGAACTTTAAATGGCATTCTTTCAAAGGTTTAGCTTTGCATACATAGTTCGAAGAATTAAGTTAATCTTGTGTCCGATATGCTAAAGTGGTGGATCACAATTCAAACTAATTTGCGTGGTTATGCTCCCCAAGTTCTTACAAAAAGTACATGCATACTTATTTCGCGATTTAACACAAAGGGAGAGATTGTTATGTCTTGGAGTTTATTTTATGTTGTTTCGGAGTCTGTTGCGAAAGTTGTTATTGTAATATCTTAGTCTTTATTGTAATGTTTAAATGTATGTTAGGTTTAAGAATGTTAACACCTTAGGTTTCAGAGTGACCTTTTACTTGATTGTTATACAACCTATCACTGCCAAAGTGTCATCACCTTAATGGCTATTCTCTAACTGACTCCCTGTTTGTCAACCTATAAGTAGTGATGTTAATTAGAAGGTAGAGTAAGCCTTTTTTGCTAGTTCTTACATTCAAAAGTTGTAATTAAGCTTTCTCACTCTAAATCAAATCAAAAGATTATTTACATTCTCGTGCTAACATTTATTTCATTCAATCATGATTTCTTACATTTCGTATCAGTAAATCAATCCAACAAATAATAATAATAATAATACCTCCGTCCCAAATTAATTGTCCATATTTGACTTTTGAAGTCTTTATTCTTCAACTTTGACCTTAAATATTTTTGTTTTTGATAGATAATACTTGATGCAAAATATATGAATGGATTGTATTTTAAATGTTTTTTCATTGTTATAAGTTTTATCAACTAATATATAACACAAATAAAAATATTTAAGGTCAAAGTTGAAGAAAAAAAAAACTTCAAAAGTCAAAAATGAACAATTAATTTGGACGGAGGAAGTAATAATTAAGGGTCTAATTTGGCCAGTTTTGATCTTTATAGTTTATTTTAACATGGTTTGAACTCTATTGTCTAATTTAGCATAATTTGAACTATAGGTATCGGTTAAACTTAATATAGCCACTTGCATAGTTGCATTGACTAAATTGATATATTTGTAAAGCATTAAGGTCTAATTTAACACAACCACTTTGAATAATTAAATGGTGACAAACCAAATACTATCATGGCAAATTGAATAATTAATCTTTAAATAAACTAAAGTGTATAAACCTAAAGGACGAAAATTGACAAATGTTTGACTCCATTTTGATGTAAGGAATGATATAACACGAACTTTGGTGTTATAGTATTACATTTACATTAAAATGGTACAAAAAGATGGTGTTGGGTTGGAACAAAATCATGTAAATATTAATGCAAAAACTAAAATTTGGTGTTGGGTTGGAGATCGCTCGCTAATGCAACTCCACAAGTCCACATCAACATTTGTTAAATGTTATAGAATAATATACATATAGCATGAGAACATCTGCAATTACATATTAAATTACATATTAGAGCTAACCCTTAATAGATTTGTGAACAAGAAACCACATATGTATGATGGATCAGCTACAAATTGGGCAGTGAACCAGTCCATTCTCATTACATTCACCACATCGAACCACCGCCCTTGTCCCCCCCTCTTTCCTCCAATCCATCGTCATCTTACAACTCCCATTGCAACTGAAACACGGCAAGAATCTAACGCCACCACAACCTTCGCACACATACCCAGCTTTTGATTTAGGCAAACCTTCAAGCAATAGGCCCAACGACCCTTCTTCCATCGTCTTCAATACCTCATTAGCTCCACCCACGTATCTCCCCTTTACAAACACCCTTGGTGGCACCAGTTCGCTCCTGTCTTTCCCCTTCATTAGCTCTCTCAGTTCTTCTCTAAAACCTTGATCCATGGATATATCTCTCTCGCAAACAAACACCCCATGTCCTTCTATCACTGTCCTCACCGCATTACATTCCTCAAATGTCTTCCGTACTCCTCTCAATGTTGTTGTATACACCACTACCATATTTTCGCCTCTAGGTGGGCATAGCTCTTCGAATTCATCTAGAAATGAGGCTTTAGATACTATGGGTTTGATAAAAATAGGGTTTTGATGATCTTGATTACAGTTTTCTTGAGAGCTTGGAGTTTTGTTTGGGTTTGAGTTTTCTTTATCGACGAGGGTGTGTCGTTTAGAGGGTTGTGAGTAAAGACGGAAGCTTTCAATGGTGGAATCAAGACCAGCCATGAGCTCCCAAGAGTTGATGACTTCAGGTGGTGCTTCGGATCTGGATTCTGAAACTGCTGTGGGAAAGATCGAGAGGAGGGTCACACGGGATGGAGGGGTTGGGGAGACAGTTGGTTTGGTGGAAGATGGATCAAGCGTCAAGAGGCCATACGTGGTGGAAGTGAGAGACACGATATGGTGGCCCAAGGCTGAGCTGCCAATTTGGCTGAAATCTTCGTCATGGTTTAACAGATGCGATGATGCACAGCCCATCTGGGAAGGTTAAGTGTGTTTCAGAACGCCAATCTAGTGATCAGGTTGAAGTGCTTATGGAGGAGGAAGTGAACTAAAAGTGCTTGACGCACAATTGTTTCAATTTTAAAACTAGCTTGTGGGCTTGATTTTAGCGCCCAAGTTTGAATTACATTATTAAAGTGGACTCTTCATGCTTTTGTTTTTGAATCATGCCTTTTTAGAAAGCCAAAACGAACTAGCTGGCATGCGAGTGCAATTTTGAAAATGAATCCCACCGATCATAATATTATAAAAGGGTTATATATATATATATATATATATATATATATATATATATATTATATATATATATATATATATATATATATATTATATATAGGGGACAGTTCAAATAAAAACAGTAAATAGTATGAGAATGTAAAAACATTTTTTTATGTTATTATTCTGCAATGAATTTTGTATCGACAACTTTATGTCATTATTCAGCAAAGAATAAATGAATAGGCAAAGGTTAAAATTAAAATTAGAATTTACTACAAAAATGCACATACATAAATTTATAATAGAATAATAACATTGTAATGAATATATGACTAATCGAAAGTTAATATTTATATTAGAATTACTTCAACAATACACATATACAAAATTCATTACAGAATAATAACATAAACATAGTGTTTTTACGTTCCCACACTATTTACTGTTTTTATTTGAACTAACTTCTATATATATATATATATATATATATATATATATATATATATATAAGGTAAGTTCAAATAAAAGCAGTAAATAGTGTAATAACGTAAAAATACTATATTTATGTTATTATTTTGTAATGAATGTCGTATATAGGTATTGTTGAAGTAATTCTAATATGAAATTAACATTTGATTATTCATATATTCATTAGAATGTTATTATTCTATTATAAATTTATGTATGTTATTTTATAGTAAATTATAGGGAAAGCTGTAATAAAGTCCCTACATATTCGCCTCATAATCGATTTAGTCCCTATATTTTTTTTATTCAGTTAAGTCCCAAATACCGGTAATCGTATTCAATTTAACCCTTTGACCCGGTCAACAGGTCATCTAACTTTCAGAAATTACATTTTCGACCCAGATTTCAAATTTTATTACAAATTCGGTCCATAATTTACACTTTTGGCCCAGATTTTAAATTTTGTTACAAATTTGGTCCAAACTTTACCCTTTTTTGCCCAAATTTAGAATTTTATTATGAATTCATCCTAACTTTAGATTTTTTACAAATTTCTTTCTCAAAAAATTGTTTCTAATATGTTTTTTCTTTTAAAAATCATATTTATAAAAAAAAAACATATTTTCACATAAAAATCTATATTTTTATTATAAAAACATTTTTTAAAAAGCTTTTTGTATATGAAATATCTAGTTATAAAAATATGTATTTATTAAGTATATAAATATATACAAATCCGTTTTTATAAAAAAATGTATACAAAAACGTATTTTACAAAAAAAATGTATACAAATCCGTTTTTATATAATACGTGTTTGTATACATTTTTTTTGTAAAATATGTTTTTATATACATTTTTTTATCAAAAACGGATTTGTATATAGTTATATACTTAATAAATACCTATTTTTATAACTAGATATTTATTATACAAAAACCTTTTATATAGAAAATATAAGATTTTTATGTGAAAATACGTTTTTTTTGTATAAATGATTTTTATACAAATCTGTTTTTATAAAAAAAAAGTATACAAAAACGTATTTTACAAAAAAAATGTATACAAATCCGTTTTTATATAATACGTGTTTGTATACATTTTTTTGGAAAATACGTTTTGTATACATTTTTTTTATAAAAACGGATTTGTATATATTTATATACTTAATAAATACCTATTTTATAACTAGATCTTTCATATACAAAAAACTTTTTATATAGAAAATATAAGATTTTTATATGAAAATACGTTTTTTTTTATGATTTTATAAAGAAAAAACATATTAAAAACAATTATTTGAGAAAAATAGTTGTAAAAAAAACTAAATTTAGGATGAATTCATAATAAAATTTCTAAAAATTGGGCAAGAAGGGTAAAGTTTGGACCAAATTTGTAACAAATTTTAAATGGGCCAAAAGTGTAAATTTTGGACTGCATTTGTAATAAAATTTGAAATCTGGGCCAAAAATGTAATTTTTGAAAGTTGGATGACCTTGTTGACGGGGGTCAAAGGGTTAAATTGAATAGATTACCGGTATTTGGACTTAATTGAATAAAAAAAATATATAGGGACTAAATCGATTATGAGGCCTATATGTAGGGACTTTATTGTAGTTTTCCCTAAATTATAATTTTAGTTTTAACCCATGACTATTCATTTATTCATTACTGAATAATGAAATAAAGTTGTGGATACAAAATTCATTGCAGAATAATAACATAAAAATAGTGTTTTTACGTTCTCACACTATTTACTGTTTTTATTTGAAATAATATATCAATATATATATTATATCTATATATATATATTATATATATATATATATATATATATAGGCTTAGTTTATTGTGTTTTTACTAACTATTGTGTGCCAGAATGCACAGATCTGGACCACCGGATGGAATAGAATCAAATGTCATGATCTAAAAGTCTATGATATTACAATAGGGTAAAATATGTACCATATAATCATATAAATTTCAGGATAAGAGTATTTTTGTCAAATTACATTTATTAAAAAATGAAATTTTCGGATTTTAAGGGATAATTAGATCTCTTATTTTTAAAATTTTGATTTTTTTAAATTAATTCAAATTTAATTCTAATACAGTTTTTAATAATAACCGTTTTATTCTGTCAGAATGACAAAGTCAACCATAAATTAGTAAAGTTATTTTCGATTTTATTCTTGCAGAATATGGTTATATTCAAGATATTTTTTTATATAAGTAACATGCTTAAAGAATTGTACAACATATAATCAAGAATAATATTTTCTAAATAATACGGATTTTATTTTTTAAGAATCACTAATTACATTAATTCGTAAAGAATACGACTATAAACAATTACTACATTCATTCTGAAAAAAAAATATGACTAGTAATGGTTTAAGAATTACATTTATTCTTAATGATTAAAACTAAGAATGATTTAAAAAGAATATATCTATATATATATATTATATATATATATATATATATATATATATATATATCTCTATATATATAAATATAACAAAAATATTAATCCATTCTGAAAGAATACATTCTGGTAGAATACATTGTGGTAGAATATAGTTTCGTTCTCCATGTTTTCTTCCTTTTTCACATCAATGACAGTCTCTTCAAAATCTAAATCCACAAAGAAAACATAATCAACTTTCAAATATTAAAAAATCCAATGCAATCTTAGAGAATAAATATAAATTATGATATTAAATAATTTTAATTTATTCTAATATAATGTAATCCTCAAATCATTAGATAAAAAAATAAAGTGTATGAATAAGTGTGAACTTGTTCAACCATTTTGATAGAATGTAATCCTCGAATCACCAATTTTTAATCGAAAAAAGACTCAAAAAACATAAAATACACCAAATTAAAGAATTAAAATTTATCAAAAAAAAAAATAAATGGCAAGCAAAGGTTCTATAAGAACACATATACTTTATTCTAATAGAACATTACTTATAGTCTAATAGCTATCAAGAAACATGTTTATTATGCAATAATGATACTGTAAAAATCCTCCAAGAATGGTTTTGAATATTCTTAAAGAATTTGTATTATCAAGCCAATAGAATGTAATCCTAAAATTGTAATGAGAATAATCGCCATGAAATCATATTCTGTCAGAATAAGTGGCATTTCGAGAGAAACATCTATTACAAAGGGTCAATCCAAGAGAAACATCTATTACAAATAATAATAATAATATGCAAATGAAGATTCTAAAAGAATCATTATAAGGTATGGATTAAAGTAATAATAAATTGGCCTACGTTATTCTATAAAATATTTAAAATCATGTTGACAGAATGGTGATGGCACTTACTTTAAATGAAGAACCAACCCATCAAATGCATACCACACACGATGATTAAAAAATAATATAATTTCAATAATATACCTATGCTTACATGCATATGATTTTCAGTGAGAAATAACCATGAAATGGAAAACGTAAAAAATATATACACATAGTTGTTTCTTTTTTCACATAGCCGAAAAAAATCAATTATGCTAATTTTCATATCACATGATAAGAACGGAAGATGTATCATGACATGGGTTTGAAATCATTGTCTGGAATTGATTAAAAACATATAAGAGTCGAAATTTTGGTCCCCAACAGAAATAATTGAGGAACATTTTGTTTTACCTGAGTCAACAATGATGATAGACGTGAAGTTTTCTCCGGCGGAATGATGGTCTATGTGAACGCTATTAATGGGATGGCCGGCAATTTTGTTAGGTTTATTAAGATGCAAAGGTAGGATTAGAGAAAGGGAGAAAATTGATGTGGACGTTTGTAAAGAAAGATTTGAGGTATTTATTTTGTTTCCGTAACTGTAGGCATTTATTTAAATGATCTCATTAATTGCTAGTGCAAAAAACCGGAAATACTCTTTTTGATTTAATTAATTATTTAATTATTTGCTATTTTCTTATTGATGCATTCAGGACCACAATAGTTGTTAGAATCATTTGAACATGTGCGTATATATATATATATAGATATATATATATATATATATATAGATATATATATATATATATATATATATATAGAGAGAGAGAGAGAGAGAGAGAAAGATTCAAATGAGAACCCAAAAAAATTAAAAACCCTAAGAATCATTTTTTTTTAATGTTTTAATTAAGGGTATTTTGGACACATCCAGCATTTACATTGTATTAAGTAAGTTTTGTAATTCTCTAATTTACAACTACTAGTCACTTGTTGTCGGACCACTGTTGTACCGTTGGACTGATGATGGACCGT